ACACACACACACACACACACACTCAGTCAGAATCAGTGTTGGATCCCTTAGATTCACTTGTGTTTTTTGGTAATTCTTTCTTAAATGTGTTCATATGTGACATACCTGAGATAAATAAAGCATTGACTTTATTTTTTCCTTACTGTGGAGTGTTTCTCAATTTACTCACCATCACACAATGCGTCTGTCTGTCAACGCACCGGGGTTACAAAAACATACCACGTAAAAAAAAAGTGCACTTAGATATCATGAAGGCTCTGATTAGTCACACCTCCCATCATTCAGCTCCGAGGTTAAAAAATAGAAGACGTAAAAAGGCATCTGTAAACCGCAGCACTGTGCCAAATGAGTCACTACTAGTCACATTTGTCAGCAAAAATATTTCTGAGTAATGAACCTTTTGCTTCATGTCTTGAAATGCGAAGCGTCCGTGTCTTGTCTCGGCTCAGTAGGCACGTTTGCTCATATATTCCTCCATCGTCTGCGGAGACAGAAGAAGTGCGTGAACACAGTTCGTACATGAGTCATCACAAAACCTGGAGGATTGTTAAAGCTTGCGTTACCTCTTGCAGTGTGTCAGCCTCCTCCATAGTCGCACCCACGGCGAACTTAGAGGTTTCTAAGACTTCTCCTCCCAGCAGGAACTCATCCAGGATGAAGTAGGCCTTCTCGAAGTTGAAAATGATGTCCAGCTCACACACCTGAAACAGAGCAATTCACCATCTATCAGATCAGAGGGAGGAAGGTCATCATCTTCTCTGCTCACCGACCGCACACGGTCAGAAAGAAATAAACTGTTTGGGAGAGTTTTAATGAAACCACAGGCATACAGGTTTTCACTAAAGGCTCTGTTCCTGTTACATGTGTAGTTTACAACCTGCTGTCTGTCAGGTCTGTTTTTATTGGTGTAGCCCAACATGACTAATTTGCCTCCAGGGGCTTTACAATACATACAACAAACAACAGCCTGTCGCTCTCATTGTTTGGCTCCATGTAAATAAGGAAGTGCGGCTGTCTTGTAAATCGAGCCAGGAGCGCTTGGAGGTGTTTTTTTCAGCAGGGGAACCTCATGGACACCAGAGGGAGTCTCACATGTGAGGGGAGCTTCACTACAGATGATGTAGAACCGGGTCACTGCAGATCAACTCTACTCTATTGTCTTCATGAGCATAAAACCATCAGGACAGAACCGGAAACAGCGTTTTTAAGAAATCCACTTGAGCAAATGCAAACACGTACTTTTGTGCACTTTAGGTCATGTTAGCAGGACTTAAGTGAACTTAACACGACTGCACAGAGCTCTGATTCAGACAACCAGTGTGATGAACTGCAGCACAGACTCACAGATCAGCCGCCATCTGTGTCCGACCTCAGACCAGGATTTGGACTGAGGTGTTCAACAGTCACACTGAGTGCAGGTGTAATGTTTGTGCATCCATATAC